TCTTTTTGATGAATGTTTTCACCTCCGCCGCCGCCTCCAGACACGACGTGCAAACGAGTGAGTAGTCATGCAAGGTCGTCGCAGTTACGGTCACAGGTCTGACTTCAGGGCGAGAAAATGGCTGCGCGAACGTATCGTCTTCGGTGCCGTGGCGATCCGTAACTTGAAACATATCAAACACCGCCGTCTTGACACAAGGCACCTGCTTCTGATGACCAAATCAGGCACGGTCGTTTGAGCCGACAGTGGCGAGTAGCTTAAGGCGTAAATACTGCGTTACACCATGGACCTGTCCCGTTGTTTGCTCGTTACGGTCAACCAATACGGCCGTGGTGGACAGTGGACATGCGGGGCTATTTTCAATCACACAGAAGCCAAGTGTTCATGTCAAACAGTTAGAAACAGCAGCTTACGACCACAAGTAAGAAAAAAGGTCGCAATTTAGAATTCAGAATTTGTCACACTCTGCTTCAGACCTATGTGCTCAGCCGCTAGATCGCTGAGCACAGAATCAAGAGGGCACAGGCTCGAGATTAACTCAGGGTCACTGGCTTCTCTTCCATTCGAAGCATATAAATGTGTACTACCATTTGAGGATATGGGAGACTACGCGCTAGGCTTGCCACATGGCTGTAGACTCGGCCTTTGAATTAAGGTATTATTGACTGATTGCATAAAAACTGAGATCAGCATCGCACCCTCAACTTCGTGAAAAGAACGGCCCTAGAATAGCCCAATCATGAAAATGCAAGGAAGGGAAGACGAACATTGCAGCAATTGTAAACTTTCTTTCCTGAAGGGGAAATGTACGACTTTACTGACTTGGTAGTGTTTACTGCTTCCTGAAAAACAAGCGTTGAGTAAGCGTTAAGTTTTGGAGCCATGGAGCTGTGACCTGCTTAAATGACCCCTTAGGCAACTAAGAGCATGTGGGAGGTAAACATTCGGTCTTGAGGAATTCATTTGCCATTTGATTTTGACATACTTGAGCGTATGAAAGTTTCAACAATTAGTTTCGTTGTACATAGAAGTAAATCAGTTATTTACAGACAGAAAATTTCATCATATAAAAGTGATATATAACTAGCGCGACGACAAATCCTGTAACATAGTACATCTATTACAGGGATTGAAGACTGCAGACAGTTGGACTACCAAAGCGATTACTCTACTCTATTAAATAGTAGACAT